GGAGGTGGTGACAGCAGTTCCATTAAAACTTCTGGTGCTGACAGGAATGATTCTGTCCCTAATGAAATATCCAAAAAACCAGGTGTTTGTTTACTTCTACCAACAAAAAATGGCTTAATTAGGATAGCTAGTGTTACCTGGAGCAGAGGACTTCCTGCACTGTAAGCTCTTTCTCTTGCCTGTACCAGTAAAGACATGCCTGGTCCATAGTCTAGAAGTATGAATAGTGGAATGACACTTGCTTCCTTTGACAGCTTTAATCTTTGATTGAATAAGTAGGTTTGAATTGCTGAAGCAGCATTAGGTATTGATTTGGCATGGGAGGGCTCTCGAGCTACTTGAAGGCCACCTTGTTTGCAATATAAATACTGAATCATAGAATCATAGAATCAACCTGGTTGGAAAAGACCTCCAAGATCATCAAGCCCAACCCTACTGTGGTTACTAGACCATGGCACCAAGTGCCACATCCAGTCTCATCTTAAAAACCTCCAGGGATGGTGAATCCACCACCTCCCTGGGCAGCACATTCCAATGCCTGAGCACTCTCTCCACAAAAAATCTCTTTCTCATGTATGACCTAAACCTGCCCTGGCAGAGCTTGAGTCTGTGCCCTCTGGTCCTGCTGCTGGTTGCCTGGGAGAAGAGACCAACCCCCACCTGACTCCAACCTCCTGTCAGGGAGTTGCAGAGGGTGATAAGGTCTCCCCTGAGCCTCCTCTTCTCCAGGCTGAACACCCCCAGCTCCCTCAGCCTCTGCTCATGGCACTTGTGCTCCAGTCCCTTCACCAGCCTCATTGCTCTTCTCTGGACCTGCTCACCAGTGCTGAGTACTGGGGAAGAATCCTTTTAAAAGTTTGTTTTGTTTTCTTTAATTTGTGTTTTTCATAGACAGCTTTAGAAAAGGGGTTGATTAATTTTTAATAAGAGTAGCAAGAGTGTCACCACCTCACTGTGTAAATGAAGGTGTCTTTTCTGTGGTTCACTATGAATTATAGTCATTATACACTTTTACCCTTAGGACCTTGTTTTACTAATAAGTGCTTTTTAGCCATAGTAAGTATCTAATATACAAAACATCTAATTTAGATAATACTTATCTTTTGTTAGCAAATCCAGGTTCAGGAGACACAGGTTCACAACTAAAAATCAAAAGACTAAGTTATAATTAAAGGAGCTTCTGCATACAAAGTTACCTATTAATTTAATGCAGATAAAGTGCATTGGTATGTGTTCACAGGACAGAACCTTCTGGCCAGCTCATCTGTGGAGTGAGTAGCTGGTGAATATGTGTGGTCACTGTTGTGAAGAAGCATGTTTTGTTCACTCATATTGGCTATTTTGGGGTTTGACTGTTTTACTGTAAGAGCAGGGTTGACTGGGCATATGTTTTGGGTGGGTTAAAGTCTGTACTCCAGAATACTCTGTTACTTTCTCCTTTTTCCAGCTTTTTTCTTTCCTTAGACTTGAAGTTGTAGTGTTGCCCTCATACTGCATGAAGATAGCCTGAAGCAATGTTATTTTTGTCCTGATAAATTGTATACATGATACTACTGTATATCAGGAATAATTCTACTAAGGATAAACTTAGTGTCAGACAGGAACAGTATCTCAAGAGGTTTGTGATACATATTTATTACTGTTCTTCAGGATTCACTGGAGGCTAATGAGTACAACATAGGCATTTTACTATCAGTATATGCTACAATACTGATTCTTTGAGAAAATGATGCATAGTTCTCGAATTTTAGTAGCACCTTTAGTAAAGCATCTTCATGTATTGGTAGGAAATGTCTTTATTCAGGGTAAGTTACAAATAGCATAGTCTGAATGAGTCAGGGTGACGTCTAAGAAGTTTTCAATTGCTCAAGTGTGAGTGCCCTCATGGTTTAAGGAGAAAAAATAGTCTTGTTGCTTGGAGAAAGTTTAGAGAAGTCCTTGTACAACAGTATTTATTGCTTGTCAGTCTATAAATGAGTGGTAATGATATCTCCTAACCTACCAAAGAGGGTTTTAAGGCTAAATAGTCTATATGTGATTTGAACCATGTCAACTTGCCTTGTACTCCTGTTATTAATTGTTCTAGGTAGTTTTAGATCAGAGAGGCCATTGTCACCTTTATGCCATTTAGTGCTTCAGTGAAGGTCATGTAGACTCGTGACTTTTTTTTAAGATGGCCTCAAAACATTGTATATAACATACTAGATAAACTTCCTATAAAAGCTTCCCAAAAAATAAAAAACAAAAAATCCACCACCGTTCATCTTCTGCAGAGACTCTGGTACACACCAGAAGACATGTGTAGTCATTAAAAAAATTTTTTTTCTGTTTCCAGGCTTAATAAAAATAGCAGGTTTTTGTTAGATTTAGTGTTTAATAAATCCATACCTGAAAATCTGAACGATGGATCTGTGTGGTTGCCATCCATGAAGAACAATCTTATTTTCAGGTATCAGATCCTTGCTATGCATTAGCTGTATTCAAGGAAGCACTAAAGTTCTGCAGTGACAGTAAGGGGTGGGCACAGTAAAAAGGCACTGAAAGTTGCTATGTGAGTGCAGCATGAAGTAGCTGGTGGTTCTGTGTTTGCATTCCATGAG